GTTCAACAGTAGCTTAATTTCCCTATTGTCAAAAAGTATACACTGTTACTGAAACAAAAGGCGTTTTACATTCTCTTATAGCACTGAAAATTAGGAGTAGTAAATACTTCCAGTTTTAAAGCATGCAGTTGGCATTTATGCAATCTGATTAATCACTATATATTGGCATTGTGTGTCAAGGCTGGCATGCGCAGCAATGCAGGAGAACAGTAAATGTACACTACCTGTGGATGGGTATTCCTAAATTTATTTTTTAGAAGATCTCTTTGCTTTTTAAATTTTTTTTAATCAAGGCATTTTCAAGGGAAAGATAAGCCTTAATGCATGACAGGTTCTGCGTGATGGAGCCAGCAGCATCTGTGCCCGCGGGTGTGTGGAGGCTCAACATAAATCAATGCCAGAACATGCTCAAAGCACCTGTCTTGGCTTGGGACAAGTGCCTACCCTAGGGTATGTTTTACATTTGTGAGGGACTTAGGAGGAAACCCCCTCACGCAGATATATTAAGTATTAAAAGATAAGATGATTTAAAACTACTAGCACTCCAAGTAAAACTATGCTGTTGGAAGTAAATCATTCTGATGAATTTTGATGGGTTGTTCAAATGTTTATGAATAGAGTCTTTCATTTCCCCTGTAGTCAGACACTCTCTACCCCCTTACTCTGCTTTGGTTTTGCTTCATAGCACATATTAATATTTACTTCCTGACATAATTTCAACATGTATTGTTTCATTTATTGGTTTATGGTCTCTGCCCCTCAATAAAGTCTAAGCTCTGTGATGGGAAGGAAACTGGCTGTCATATTCACAGCTGTATCTGCAGCCCCTGTTACAGGGCTCAGCCCGTAGGCATTCAGTAAATATTTGTTAAATGAGTGAATACATGAATACCAAAATAGACTTATAAGAGCAATTTTTTCCTGTGCCATAAAAAAAGCTGTGATTTAGCTGGGTATGGTGGCATGCACCTGTAGTCGCAGCTACCTGGGAGGTTGAGGCAGGAGAATCACGTGAACCTGGGAGGCAGAGGTTGTAGTGAGCCGAGATCGTGCCACTGCACTCACTCCAGCCTGGGCAACAGAACAAGACTCCAGCTCAAAAAAAAAAAAAAAAAAAAAAAATATAATGATTACAATGGGAACAGGTGTTTTGGTTTGGTTTTGGTTTTTTTTTTTTTTTTTTTTTTTTTAGAGGGAATCTCGCTCTGTCACCAAGCTGGCGTGCAGTGGTGCGATCTCAGCTCATTGCAACCTCTGCCGCCCAGGTTCAAGCCATTCTCCTTCCATAGCCTCCCAAGTAGCTGGGACCACAGGCATGCACCACCACACCCAGCTGATTTTTGTATTTTTAGTAGAGATAGGGTTTCACTATGTTGGATAGTCTCGATCTCTTGACCTCATGGTCCTTCTGCCTTGGCCTCCCAAAGTGCTGGGATTACAGATGTGAGCCACCACACCCAGCCAAGAACAAGTTTTTATTTGTCTGGTTCAGGAATTTTGTTTTTTAATCACATGAATATTTTCAGATGTTTCACAGGCCTAAATGTTTTCGTGAAGTTCTTTAATCATGTAAAAGAAACTATATATATATATATATAGCAATTGTGCTGTTTCAACACTTGTTCAGTCTCTCACATGTTCTCTTCCTACCATCCTGCCCTTCCTCCTTCCTGTCACCATGTCTGCTCAGATGTCTGGGTACCACTCTGCCCTTGCCCCTTGGCTACCAGCTCCCTCCTCCCCCCACACCCGCATCAGGACCCCTGTTGCAGGCTCCCCTGGCTTCATCCTTTTGATCAAAGGGCTTTGGTCAGCATGTGGGAGGACGCCGTGGTTCTTCAGTGAACACTGTCCACCTGGCTGTCTGAAATGGTGTGTGTTCTTTTCATTGTAGAGCTTTTCCCTAAACACTGCATACATTTGTTACACTATAAAAACCAGTGTTCCACAAGGTATAATAAAATAGATCATTCCTTCCATTTTATAATTCTTATAATGCGGGACCACCAAGTCAATCTGTCAATTTACAGAGTTAGTTAAGAACTGGACATTAAGGCCAGGTGCAATGGCTCATGTGTGTAATCCCAACACTTTGGGAGGCTGAGGTGAGCAGATCACCTGAGGTCAGGAGTTAAAGACCAGTCTGGCCAATATTGTGAAACCCCATCTCTACTAAAATACAAAAATTAGCTGGGCATGGTGGCACACACCTGTAGTCCCAGCTACTCAGGAGGCTGAGGCAGAAGAATCTCTTGAACCTAGGAGGTGGAGGCTGCAGTGAGCGGAGATCACACCACTGCACTCCAGCCTGGGCGACAGAGCAAGACTCTGTCTCAAAAACAAAAAAAAGAAAGAAAGAAAGAAAGAAAGAAATGGACATTGAAGTGGAAAATGCTTTCACTGCTGTAGGAGGTCATAGATAAATTCTGCAACTTGTTTTAAGAGGTGCTGGACAACCTATGTGTGTTAGCACTGTGCCTTGTTATATAAGCTAAATCAACCCGTGGGGCTTAATTAAAGCAGGGCAGACTCTAAACAAAGCTCTAACTTGGGCCAAGTTGTCCTTGAAACCTTTATCCTGCAACACCTGCTGATGTCTCATCCCCTCCCAGGTACCTTCCAGGAGCCCTTGCTTTGGCCCCACCACCATCGTAGTCTAAGATGGAAACAGCTGGAATCAGCAATTTTGGTAGCACATGGTATTTTGACACTTGAGACAAATAATTGCATACTTCTAGAAACTAATGAACATCTTGTATAATTTTTACAATGTAGGGTAAAATAGAAGGCACATGGCATATTGATCTCTTTACAACAAAAAAAGGGAAGTCATCCTTTATCAGGAAATGGTAGATCTTTTCTTCTGCTAAATTTAACACAGAGGCCTCTACTATTCTTGAAGTGTTTTTTTCCTATTTGATCCTTAATGTTCCAGTGACAATTCAACCAACATAATTTTTATTAATAAACATGATGAAAAGCCTCTAACACAGACAGAATTTTAACTTTGAACCTGTGATAATTCTGTCAGCTCTGTGCTACATTAAATACATGTTTTAGACACGTTTTGTTTCAGTACTGTGCTTGGTTCTGCCCACTGGACGAGTACTGATTGTTAAGCAGCTAGATAGCAGGCATAATAAGTAGGGGACACCACTAGAAGAAAGGGGGTTCACTACCCATTCCCAAACAGGTACTGGCCAGAGACAAGCCCTCTTCATAAGCCCTGGGCATCAGGAGTTCCTGCCTAAATGATTTCAGATAGTACACTGTTTAAGCAGCGCGCAGAAAGGAGATTCTCCATGCAGGAAAGGTGAAGGGACAATGACAGAGTGAAAATGTGCCTGGGATTACAAGCGTGAGCCATGACACCTGGCCAGAACACATTTTAAACACATGTTAAGAACACCATCTATAGGCAGGGCAAAGTGGCTCATGCCTGTAATGAGTAGTGAACTGAGATCACCTCACTGCACTTCACCCTGGGCGACAGAGCAAGACTCCCTCTCAAAAAAAAAAAAAAAAAAAAAAAAAAAAAAGACCATCATCAATAATAAATGACCCTCTTCAAAAAACATCTTACGATTTTTCCATTAAGCAGTAAAAGTACTGAGAGAATGTTGTCTACATTCTTTTTAGAAGGTAGTATACAGTGACATAACCTAAAAGTGGAATCATTAGTATATTTTTTGGAATGAATCTACTCCAAGATTGTTTACTTGAGGAAGACAGTTGCTCTCAGACCTCAAAAAAAGTCAAACTCCAGAGGTATCTCAAAATGGAAGAGGGATCCATCAAATTTATATAGAAAATAGATGATAGCTTACTATTAAAGAAAACTGTCAAAACAAGCCTACCCACCAGAAGTAAAGTGACAAAAAAAGGACTTGAAGAAGAAGCCAGTACTCAAGAGTCTATGGCTAAGAGGTGTCAGGCGAGGAGCACTGCGGGGCAGCAGGGGCTGTGGAGGCAAAAGAGTGTGGTTAACTCCTGACTATGCCAGTGAATGGCTCTGAAACAAGACCTTCGCTTCCATATGTGGGAAGTGGAGATGACACGACCCACCAGAGCAGCGTTTGGTGGATTCAAGATGGGAGTTTGAAACCATCCTGGCCAACATGGTGAAACTCCATCTGTACTAAAAATACAAAAATTTACTGGACATGTGGCACGCACCTGTAATCCTAGCTACTCAGGGTGCTGACTTAAGAGAATCACTTGAACCTGGGAGGCGGAGGTTGCAGTGAGCCAAGGTCGCACCATTGCACTCCCAGCTGGGCGACAAGAATGAAACACCATCTCAAAAAGAAAAAGGATGCTTAGTGGGCTAAACACAGGTTAGAAAAGCAGATGTCGTATCTCCAGAGCTTTTTTATTTTTTTGAGACAGAGTCTTGCTTTGTTGCCCAGGGTTGAGTGCAGGGGCGGGATCTCAGCTCACTGCAAACTCCACCTCCCAAGTTCAAGTGTTTCTCCTGCGTCAGCCTCCCAAATAGTTGGAATTCCAGGTGCCCAGCACAACGCCCACCTAATTTTTGTATTTTTTTGCAGAGATGGGGTTTCACCATTTTGGCCAAGCTGGTTTCAAACTCCTAACCTCAAGTGATTTGCCAGTCTCGGCCTCCCAAATTGTGGGGTTACAGGCGTGAGCCACTGCACCTAGCCTGGATCTAGATTCTCAACTTTCCTGCTTGACAGCCTCAGGCATCGAGCTTCAAGGTCTGAGGAAATCAGGAGTTGGCAATACACTGATGATTTTACATTTGGAAGGTGTACCAGTAAAAGGTTAAATAGTAATAATTAAAAAGATTTAGAGCAGATTTTAGTTGAAGAATTGAAATTGACATTTGGTAACCAACTCCTTTATGAAATGTTGCCAGAGGACATAGGAACAAGAAGATTTCTCTTGGTTTAACTGGATTGTTTCCTGAAAGACCATTTACAGGACATCTTCTGGTATTTATCTTTGTCTTTTTCAACTATCTGTAAAAGAATTTTTTTTTTATGATTGTGATATGACATCATTAATAATGAAATTAGATTAAGAAATTATATCTGGCCGGGCGAGGTGGCTCAAGCCTGTAATCCCAGCACTTTGGGAGGCCGAGGTGGGTGGATCACGAGGTCAAGAGATCGAGACCATCCTGGTCAACATGGTGAAACCTCGTCTCTACTAAAAATACAAAAAATTAGCTGGGCATGGTGGTGCGTGCCTGTAATCCCAGCTGCTCAGGAGGTTGAGGCAGGAGAATTGCCTGAACCCAGGAGGCAGGGGTTGCGGTGAGCCGAGATCGCACCATTGCACTCCAGCCTGGGTAACAAGAGTGAAACTCCGTCTCAAAAAAAAGAAATTATATCTATACCTGATTTTTCTTTTATAGTTAATAGTTCATCTTTACATTAAAGTTTCTCTTATTAAATAGTCCCTGCTTAATTTTAGAGTTTGCACATCTTAGATATTTGAAGAGCATTGTCAAGTTCTTTTTCTGACCCATCACATAAGTTAGAGTATGAGAGGTAAAACAAAGTTTCTCTACTCCTTTTCCGTTCAGTACTAAGTGTATGTTTTGATTAAGCTTTAGGGTCAGCAGGAAGGCCAACTGTACTTACCTGAGCTTTAAAAACAATTCTTAAAATCTTAAGTCACACACTCAAAATAGCAGAATTTCAACACTAGATTTATTTTTGTCTTCCTTTTCATGCACATACATTTCACATAAGAATAGGGATTTTATTTATCCTTGCATTTCACATGCAAGGATACACAAAGACTCAAAACAAAGGGATGGAGAAAAATTTACCAACCAAATGGAGAGCAAAAATAAATAAATAGAAAGCAGGAGTTGCAATTTTTGCTGATAAAATAGACTTTAAAGCAACAAAGATCAAAAGAAGCAAAGAAGGATATTACATAATGACAAATGGATCAATGTAACAAGAAGAGCTAAAGATCCTAAATATATACGCACCCAATACAGGAGTACCCAGATATATAAGACTTATAAAGAGACTTGGACCCCCACACAATAATAGTGGGAGACTTCAACATCAATATTAGACAGATCAGTGAGACAGAAAGTTAACATTGATATCCAGGACTTGAACTCAGATCCGGAACAAGTAGACTTAATTAGCATTTATAGAACTCTCCACTTTAAATACACAAAATATACACTCTTATCAGTACCACATCACATCTATTTATAGGTTTCAATGAAATATTGGTTGGCTGCTTGTTCATTATTTTCTTCCCTCATTTTTTTTTTTTATGTCTCTATTATTAAACACAATTACAGGCATACCCATTTTTAGCCCGGGCAATAAAGCAACACCCCTGTTCCCTCTCCATCTTCCTCTTCCTCTTTCTTCCTCTCCTTCATTCTTTTTTTTTTCTTTTTCTTTTTTTTTTTTATTCTTTTTCTTTCTTTCTCTCTTAAAAAAAAAAAAAAAGAATAGGGATTTTATTTAAATGCTGCAATAGCCTGTATATTGATTTTCTAAAGATAAGTAATCCTTTATGTCAAATACTTTCAGTAAAACTAATCTCTGCTACTTGTATATTTCCAGCATTGAATAGATAGGAGGGAGTTACAGTAGTAGCAATACAGAAATGCTGAATCAAACCAAACACGCATTTATGTTATTTTATTGTTTATTATTGTTACCCAATTGTGAGAGCAATAAGAATAACTACAGCTAAAAGCGTTTGCTGAGTGTATTCGATGTGCCAAGTCCTATGCATGTTGCTGTATGATCTCATTTAAGTCTGAACAGTCCAAGCGGTGCATAAGTAACTGACTTGCCTGAAGTCACACAGCGGCAGGCATTAGAACTAGGATTCAGAGCCGGGCACTCTGACTCACCTGTGTGGGCTGGTAAAGCCTTCAACTTCTTGCTCAGGTTATACCAGGAAGTTTTTGCTTTGAAATAGGTGCATACACATTCCACTGTATTTTTTTTTTCCTTGCTCTTTCATAATTTTTATCAACTGAGTTGCCTTGTCAGGAATAACACCGATGCTCAGAGCAGATATTATTGGCTTATCAGAGTAAAATATCACAGAGACAAATCTGAAAAATGGCATTTGCTAACTAGTATGTATGAAGCATCAATTGCCTTACCCTACGTTGAATGTGAATGTTTGAATGCATGGCGTACAAAGCAAGATTCAGAATTCTACAGGATGCTCATTGGCAGAAAGCTGCTTTTCTTGCACAGCGTAGCAGGAATAAATGAGGAAAGCATGTCATGGAATCAGAGTTACAATTTAGTAGCTCTAAGATTACAACATAATTTCAATAATAGAGGCAGCCCAGAATAATGGCCAAGTAAATAGAATCCCTAATCTTTGGCTTGTTCATATATTTACCCAACGTAGGCTCTGAAAAAGCTGAGAGCTTTTTGGAAGAAAGAAATGGAAAGGAGCACCTGCGTTCTCAAGGCTAAGACCTCCCTTTTGTAAATGCACTAATATTTTAAGAGGGTGTGTGCATGTTTAATGCGTGGGTGTGTTTGTTTAAGGAAGACTGAGCTTCAAAAGGCAAGATGTTTTGTAACCCAGAAATGTAATTGTAAATGGAATTATTAAATCTGACAATGAAATTAAAATAAACTAATGTGTAAATAGAGCACATATGTGGGGCTGTACCTGCTGGCTCAACTTCTGTCTAACACAGGTTCAGAGCTTCACTTCAGTTCAACTCTAGAGGGGTAGAGACAGCCTCACATGTGAACACTGACAGATACTACTAACCCAGCCCAGGGAGCTGCAGAGTCTTTTTAGTTCAAAGGAAGAGAAGAATTTCACTTCCTCGCTGATAGTCTAATTTTCTCAAGAACTGATTGTAGACAGAGGGAATCCACCTTTAGCAAAGGGCGTGGTGGGTAACCACAGTCTTGTAGCAGAGAAAAACTTCAAAGTCAAGATGGTGAGCCATACATTTGCCCTAGGCTTGGGAGAGACAAATCTGGAATGAGGATTCTGATCTCATAAAATTCACTTAAGACTTTTCAAACTGCCAGGCTAGCCTTTGTAGCTACAGTTCTTAATAAGTCTAGGCTGAGTTTGGCACATATAATTATTTCAGCAGAAAAAATAGCCATTAAACTATCAACAATAAATTATTAGAACTGATAGTGGTACTGAGAATACTTAAACCTCCTTTTCACTCGCTCCCAAATCTATTTAGATAATCTGCCTTTTGGTACATCCAAGTTATTATGTCTAGTGGTGGAGGATGGCGTAGCTCAGACAGCTGTATATCTAAGCGAAGGGCAGGTTATAAAAAGATTTCTGATCTGTTTTTTAATTGTGGTAAAATATATGCCATACCATTTACCATTTTAATAGTTTTTAAATGTATAGTTCGAAGCCATTCACGATGTCCTACACTGACAATGCTGGCCAGCCACACCACTGTCCATTTTCAGAACTTCCCCATCACCCCAGTGAAGACTGTCTTATCACAGTTAGAAGTTGCAAGTAGAAAAATGGATTTATTTTAATTCCATCTTTTGTTTATTTCTTTCAGTAGATAAAACAGTTAAGAGCTGTTTGTAATAAAAAGCAGATGGCAAAAAGTAGAAAAAAGTAAGCAGTCATTGATGAGCTATATAAGTAACTTGTGATTAGTTTTATGATAGTTTTATGATATTTAATCATAGATCAATGTTTTGGAATTGAACTTGTGTAAAAATAGTAAGCCACCTCATCCTTCAACTCTTAGGAAGTAGGTTTTCATAAATATTTGGGTCTGATTGTTATTATAATGAGTTACTGAGCATTTCTGTGTGTTAAATGCTGTATCTTATTTAATCCTTATTAACAGTCTAGCAAAGTAGATGACATATTGCCAGTTTTACGAACTTCAAACATTATACTAAACTCCAATATTTCACTCTTACTCAGTTTGCTGCCAGCAGAAGTTAAGTGACTGGTCTGAGGTCGCTTAACCGGTTGGTTAACCCAGGGTAATCACTTACTAAACCCTTGCTGTAACCGTCACGATACATTGCCTCCTTTAGAGCCACCTAGAGTTTTATTAAGAAAAATAAGAAGCTATTTTTTTCTCTCAATTCTTTCTTGGCACCTTTTCAAAGGAAAACCGTTGTATAGTCAGAAGAGAAATAGCCTGAAATTTTAAATAAGATACCATGCAGACCAGATAATGTTCCATTCAGCCCCAAATTCACACCAGCACAGTGCCCCCGAGGCTGTTGGTGGAACTGCAGAATGGCTGCTCTGCTGACCCGCAGGGCCCCACCTGGCTGTAGTCCACTAGGGGGTCCTCAGAACATTTTCTGTTTTGGAGTCTGAGGCTCTTCTTGGTCCACCAGACTGTTTCCTAAGTGATACTTATAGGCCTTAACTAGAAACCTGATGGGGACTTAATTAATTAATTTATACTATGTCCAGCGCTGTGGCTGAAATGTAAGAATATGACTAGCTTTTGGCTTTTATTTTTTTAAAAACTTGGTTTTGTTTTGGTTCAGGTGTACATGTGCAGGTTTGTTACATAGATAAACTTGTGTCAGGGGGGCTTTTTGTACAAATTATTTTATCACCCAGATATTAAGCCTAGAACCCAGTAGCTATTTTTTCTGCTGCTCTCCCTCCTCCCAGCCTCCACACTCAAATAGGCCTCAGTGTGTGTTGTTCCTTTCTTTCTGTCCATGTGTTCTCATCACTTAGCTCCCACTTGTAAACAAGAACGTAGTGTTTGGTTTTCTATTCTTGCATTAGTTTGCTAAGGATAATGGCCTCCAACTCCATCCATGTTTCTGCAAAAGATGTGGTCTCTTTCTTTTTTATAGCTGCATAGTATTCCTTGTTGTATATATACCACATTTTCTTTATCCAAGCTGTCATTGATGGGCATTTAGGTTGATTCCATGTCTTTGCTGTCGGGAATAGTGCAGCAGTGAACGTTGATGTGCATATGTCTTCATGGCAGGATGATTTATATTCCTTTGGGTATATAACCAGTAAGGCGATTGCTAGGTCAGATGGTGCTTCTATTTTTAGCTCTTTAAGGAATCGCCACACTGCTTTCCACCATGGCGGAACCAATTTACAGTCCCACCAGCAGTGTATAAGCATTCCTTTTTCTCTACAACCTGCCAGCATCTGCTATTTTTTTGACTTTAGCAATAACCATTGTGACTGGTATAAAATGGTATCTCCTTGTGGTTTTGATTTTTGGCTTTGATTTTAAAGAACTGATGAGGTATTTGTCCTGAATGTCTTGGCCTTCAGGGCACTGGCCACTCCTGATTGGTATTAGGAATCCATCCACCTGGCCACACACACAGAGCACCCAGACCTCCCCTTTCCTGGGTACCCTTGGCCACCCAGTCCATGAAGTTTCCTTGCACCTTTGAAACCTAAAGCAACGATACTTCCTTTCCTGACTCCACAAGGGAAGAGCTGGTTTCAGGAGGACCCAAGCTATGGAGGCAGTCCCTCTCTGGGGCTTCCCCACACCT